TTGGCATCTTTGGGTTAAATATAATGAGAACATGATCATATTTAATGAGTTTAACTCAAAAAAAAATGAGAAAAGAATGGCACATTAGTGTGAATATTAAAAAGAACCACCTCACATCTAACAAATGAAATAGTGTGTGTAACAAATAAAAACATGCATGGCGTAAAAACATAGTCCCTAGATGTGTATTTCTCCAATAAAACAAGAAGGGAGCTTTATTATTATTATTTTTAGTACTCCGTATATTTGCTTAATCCGCTCACCAATTCGATCTGTAGCCCCATTTTGATCGAGTCAAAGTACACTTCAATTCAATTAATAAAGCATGCAATTTTTTTTATCAAACATTAAAATTAACACATTTATAATAGAAAAATTCCACCAATATTACTCCTGGAAAAGTGATGAACAAAATTGTGATTTCATAACTTTAAGTGACTATAATTATATTCAAAGTTACTATGGTGTAGTTACTATGAATTGAACTTTGAACACATTTATAGTCATTAAAAGTTACTATGTCACATTTTCGTCCATTCCTTTTTGTTAGTAATATTTTAGGAAAAACCTCATATTCGACTAAGTTACCACCTAATAATTAAATTTAAAAACTGAAGTAAAGTTACCACCTAATAATTAAATTTAAAAACTGAATTATGCACTTAAGTATATGAACTTTTAAAATTCCACTAAATTATACCGCGCGACAAATTCACCTTACCAAGATGTCAAACAAAAGGTTCTTTTAAATACAAATTCAATTACTTTTACTCTAAATTAAAAATTGATACTAAAGCATTAACTTATTGTATATTTATTTTAAAGGTATGTATTGTACATAAAATCATTTAGCGATTTGGTGCATCTAGTGCTGGACTCGGGCCGGGCGGCCCGGCCCGGAACCGGCCCGGCCCGGTTACTGTTTGGCCCGGCCCGGCCCGGGGCCCGGTGGGTCCCTCGGTTCGGTTCGGCCCGGCCCGGCTGCTGGGCGGTTCGGGCCCGGGCCCAGGTTTTCGTGAACCGGCCCGGCCGGTTCGGGCCCGGTCCGGGCCGGATTTTTTTTTTTTTTTTTTTTTTGAAATTTTTTTAAGTTTTAGGTTGGATTAGGTATTTTGGGCTATTTTATCTTATCCGTTAAGTCCATGGTAATGGAAAGAACAATTTTATCTACCGCCACTTCACTCTCTTGTTTCTGTTCACTCTCCTCTCATCGTGCACCCTCTCTAGATTACTCTTCAGTGAAAGTTATATACGAAGTATTAGCAGCAAAAGTCGATCAATTGTACGTGAGGTTGAGTTTTCTTCACACAAAGAAAACTAATTTTAGTTTTATCTAAATTTATTGTTAAAAGGGCAAAAGGCAAGAAACTAAAGCAGATGCTAACATTTCTCTAGGCAAATTAAATTTTAGAAAATGAATATTTGAGTCCGTAGAAATCTAAGAATGTTTTCTTTTGGACTGAAATTTGCTGGTCTGGTCTAGCATGTTTAAGTCTGGTCTGGTCTGGTCTGGTCTGAACTGGTCTGGTAAACGTCTGGTCTCTGTGTATTTTATAACTATGAAAGTCAGGTCTAATCTGGTCTGGTTTGATTAAGTCTGGTCTGGTCTGTTTAAGTGTGGTCTGATCTGATCTGGTCTGGAATTGAAAACAATCCAAAAGAAAACAACTAATATCATAAATTGATCGAAAAGCAAGAGTGTACCATTAATTATTAGAATTGATAACAATTCTCCTAGGGATAGTGGCTTTGTTCTCATATTAGGTACGGAGTATATCTGTAACTCAATATCCTGATCTGATGTAATATACCCGAAGTACTTTGATAAGGATTTCCACTCCTAACTCAGTATATAGTGGTTTTCAAAAAAAAAACTCACTATATAGTGATATCCAGCAGGTTGACATTCATATCTTCCCACTTTCCTATTTTGGATGTAACATTCATAACTTTTCATTTCTAAATCTTCCCATTATACCCTCAATAATTTTAAAAGTAATACACTATTACACCTACTTTTTTGGATTTATCCTTCATTCCATCACATTATTTCACTATCTTCCTATCATACACTCAATAATTTATACGGAGTATCTTCTTTCACTATTCTTAATCTACCTACTTTTCAAATGGGAACATATATATGTTACGGAGGGAGTAATATCTATAAAATAGGGAATTTCAAAAGGCACTCCAAAAATTGATCCTATTTATTACTATCAGAATTTATAGGGGGTGTTCACCCGTTGGCCGTTAGCCGTTGGCAAATTGATTTGGCTGATTACAGATAGCAGATTCAGTTGGTTGTTTTGATTGGCGGATAGTATTAACAGTTTATAAAATAGTGTTTGGTTAAATGGTCGTTTATAATTAGCTGATTATTTGTTAAATGACTTTAATGGACATCATGTTTACTAACTAATTTTAAACGAACCATTTTTAATATAAAAAAAAATCCATTAACGCAACTTACGCAAGTTATGGTTCACCGGCCATTATCTTTATTTGCACCACAATTTCAAATCCTTGTCCTGCAACTTAAAATCTAAAATACTTCGTATAAGGTAATAAGATTTTTTTGATAGTCTATCAACATCTTCTTAAGGCATGCTCCGTGTGTATGAACAAAAATGTACACTTTCTTATACACATCAGTAGGACTGAGCACGGGTCGGGTTCGGGCGGGTCGGGTCTGTGTACCCTAAACCCGTTTGGATTTTTTAAGTTAAATACTAGGCCCGACCCTTTTATATTTCAAATCGGGTTTTTCGGATATTTGTAAGTCAGATATTATCAGATATCGGATCGGGTTTTGGATATTTCGGTTATATTAAAAAAAATTGGATAATTAAAGTGTTTGAATGCCACTTTGACAAAAATTCTACAAGCTAATGCACTAAACATTCAAATTACGCAAATAATTTAATACAAATTGCATAAATAATTACACAAATAATTGAACACAAGTATTAATTTAACATATTCAAAGTACACACTACATAATTTAATATATTTTGAATATTTCGATTTTATTAAAACACATTATAATTAGATAATTAAAGTGTTGGAATGTCACTTTGACAAAAAATGTACACACTAGTGCACTATACATTCAAATTACAAAAATAATTTAACACAAATTGCATAAATAATTACACAAATAATTGAACACAAGTATTAATTTAACATATTCAAAGTACACACTAAATTATTTAATATATTTCGGATATTCGGGCGGGTCGGGTTGGGATTTTACAAACCCTACCCGCCACCCGATCTATGCCCAATACTAATCGGATTTTCGGTTTTGGGTCGGATATCCATTTCGGTTCGGATCATATCCGAAAAAAACTTCAGATTTTGCGGGTCGGTTCGTGTTTTGCTCAGCCCTGTACATCAGTACATCTATGTGTCTGTGTGAAGTTTTTTTGTCTGTGAACATCAATTCACAGACAAAACCGGCTTGCTTTGTCTGTGAAACATTCTACAGACAAAACAAGTCAGTTTTTTGTCTGTGAACTGGTATTCACAGACAAAAAACTCTCACGGACATGGAGGTGTACTAATGTGTATAAAAACGTGTACAAAAGGAATTTTTCATGTATGAATGATCTACAATAAAAAAAAGTAGAATATAAAGTTCAATAGTGTACATCATCTACTGATCTACAATAGAAAATCTATTGTACAAGTTCAACAAAAGAAATTTAATTAATTTTGCTAGGGGTACACAAATTGTGTACACCCTGCCACCCCATATAAATACCTCCCCTTTTTTTTTTTACCTCACTTCCTCTCCCCAATTCAAATTTTTACCCTATTTTCTTTTGTCTCCCATCCATCCCACTCCCTCCCCATACTCCCGCACCCACTCCACAATTTGGACCGCCATCTTCGCGAATCATCCAAAGCCATCCAGCGACGCCGGACCACCGAACCCAGCGAGGAGGTCGTTTAAGCATCCAACCGGGCATCCGAAGTCGCTGAAAGCATCGTTTTACTCCGCCAGACGACTCTCGTTCTTCATGGCACTGCTTTGCTCGCTGAAGCATCCAACTGAAGTCAGTTCGTCGAGGCGTTGGTCGAAGTTCGTTGAGCCGCTTACCCATCCACCTGAGTGCTCTGCTCCAAGTCTACAAGGCGCTGGTCCAAGTTCGTCGGAAAAAGCAGATACCTTTGAAGCCATGGTGCGAACAAGTTTAACCAATCTTGCTGAAAGGTAATATTTTCATCCTTGTGCAGTACTCACCTTACCATAATTGATTTAATTGAATTAAACAAGACCTAATTTTCTTTCTGTGATTTAATAATTGCTTGAGATGTTGTTTGTGTGTTGTGAGATGTCTATGACATATTTTGAATTGTCTGTAGGGAGTTCATACATGAATGTGATGTTTTAAGTAGATGTCTGTCATTCATATTTTTGTGCCTGTCATATTTTTTAGTTGTCTGTCATTTGCTTAACATTGTCTGTCTTGTGTTTTCAATTGTTTGTCATTTGTTTCGAATTGTCTGTAACAACTTTATAATTGTCTGTGAGGTTATAAAAACATGTTTTGTAGTTGTTTTCCCCAATATTTACACTTAAAACAGTTGTAATAAAGTTTTTTTTTGCCATCCAAAGTAATACAAGTTTTTGGCAAAAAAACCTTAGTCAAATTCTCGAGGAGAGAGGAGGCTCGGTTGTACTCTCCTAGCTCTGCTAAGGTCACAGCTGGTCCCAGCAAATCACCATAACAATTGTGAGTTGTGAACTCAACCCAAGGGCACAAGCAGTTAAACCAAAGAAAATAAAAATATACTGCATTGAGTGCATTCCTCTCAAAAAGTCATGATTTAGGTTTACTTTGTGTCTCAAAAGAGTCGGGTATAAAAGTCAGCTTTCATTTTAAAATGTATCATGATTTTAAATGGAGTCACCATGTGACTCCATAGAGGAGTAACATATGGCTCATTAAAACCTTTCCCAAATGATCAATTGGCAGACATCATCACATCAGTCGTATTTTAATTTTTAAACACAAATTATATGGTGAATATAAAGTCAGACAAAGTGCACAAGCACGGTGACTTATAAGATAACGTTGAAACTTGCCAAACAAAAGGAATATGTATTCTGCAATCGATCAACAAGCGGTGCGACTTAGTCTAATACGACATCAAACATCAATATACAGAGTATCTAATACAGTCTCATTATTATTTAATCATAAACGCACAACAGGGACCAATACAAATCTGTGCGTTTGTACCACAACAAATAGAATACATCAGTAACGATACTTGGTAGAGTAATCTTTGGGTGCGATGACAAGACCACGGCCCTTTCTGGCACCACGATACACAGTCTCAACAATGTCAATGAACTCTTGTTTGTCCTTCAGCGCCCAGTTTATCTTGTTATTATTCCCAGTTCCAAGATCAATCATGATGTGTTTGTTCCTAAAGAAGAACATTACAGTCGACGGGTCATACAATTCATACATTGTGTTGAAGTCAGGTACTTCGGTTATATCCACTAGGTATATCACTGCAAAATTCTTTAATGTCTCCGCCACTGAAGCCAATACCTCATCCATCTTAAAACTCAAGCAAAACAAAACAATCAGTAGGCACATCAAAATAAAGAAAACAGTACTGCAATATATGCAATGCCCAATATGTACTGTATAAAAAATTATTTGACCACAGTCAATAGCACACTCGGTTTAAAAATTATCTCACAATTCACCATGTCCATTAAAGCACAAGTCACTCCATACAGGAAGATGCAACATTCTATACGCATGGTGAGAGATGATGACTTGTGTAGTTGTGTATGTCCATTGTTGATATATTACTTCATAAAAATCCTATGGAAACCTTTGGAAACAAGTAGCACAAAATCTCAGCTGTTATAATGTATGATCATGTAGAAAGTTTTTCATTGCACAATACAAAAAGTTTTACTCCATATTGAACATCCATTTTACTCTGTAAGTAAAATTATTTGTTGTTGACTTGTTTTACACACACACACACATATATTTCAATTTAATTTGTAATACATTATTTTATTCTATATAAATTACGGAGTAGTGGAGTACATATTATACAAACTTACGAAGTATGTTGTTTCATATACATTTTTAACATAGAGTATGTAATATGTTATAAATTATTTTAATATGTATGTATATTTAAATATTACATGTGAAATGACATGTCGCCTAGGCGGGCGCCTAGACGCCTAGGCGATATGGCGGTCGGCTGGCGCCGCGCCTCGCCTAGCCGCCGTAACAAGTATGATGCAAATAAAGTGTCAATCTAGAGAAACAAAACCTTCTAACTATGCAGGGTCATGGATGTTTTCATTCATTCATACATACATATATACATGTCATAACTAGCTCATTAGTCCTACAAATCAAGAATGTTTCAATGTAAAAAACATTTGACACCGCTTACAAAAAGGAAACTTAAAATGAGTTAACTTGACCGTGTGGTGTCCGTTTTTATTACAATAAAATATTATTGACTTTACATGATTCAAATGGTTAGGATGTAATTATGCAATTCTATTCAGAACTATTTGGAACCTGCTGAATTTTTTCATGCACAACACAGATGACAGAAGTCACAGAACTACAAGACCTAAGGACAAACCTTCTATGTATTTCATGTACTCATTCTTATCCAAGTCTATAGAATGCATCACCAGCAATGGTCATCTGTGGACCAAGCTCACATGTTTTCGGTAGACCAAGCTCAAAGACGAGCTGCGAGTACACAACTTAAAATCCTGAAGCCTGAGAGAAAACTTTTTACACTCCAAAGCACCATAGCAGTAAAAGAGAAGGCAAATACAAAAGCTTAATAGCTTATAAAGGTTATTCCTCAAAATGTCAATTCATCAATGGTTTCCATGTATATAGAACATTAGAACACTCTGGTGAAGAGGTAAGTTCTCCATTTGATTTTTAAGTTTTCTTCATGGAGGTGGCAGTGGCACAGTCCACAATCATGGAAGTCAGATATGGAGACATCAAAGACCATTAAAGGAGGAGACGAAGAAAGTTGGAGAGGAATGTACCAATGAATGTGAAGGAGGAAAGGAGCAAATTGAGCAATGAAGGTAGAAAAGGAAGACAGAGCCGGTAAAGGAAAGGGAATACAAGCACATGAGGTGAGGGGTAGAAAGTTAAAAGGGAATGGCAAAAAATAGATTATATCTGTATGACGTAAGTCTTGTTATACATCTTGTTTTACATCAAGGCATATTCTACAACAATTTGGGGGTGTTTATATTTCCTTCCCAATCATTTCCTAACTGGCCAATTTGGTTTCTTTTAGGGAATGCACAAACTTCACTGCATCCCCTCCTACCATGCAATCAAAACAAATAAGTACCAGGTGGCATAAAGAAAGCTTCACCCCCTCCTCATTCGCCCTCTATCTTGATCTAAAACATACCACCCATATTTAACGCAGTTAACTGACAAAGACAGGACACGTTATGAAAATGGGAGTAAACTGCTGGATACAGTAGAACAAAGGCACCTGCAGAACGAACCTATTTTGATTCTAACTCTTAGAGTGGAAGAAGCTTTCTGTAAGAAATTCGATTTATATGAATTCACATGTTTTTAAAAAGCAGGAACATTGGAGAACTTACTAATCAAACTGTCTATGGGGGTTAACCAGACATACCCAACCAACCAGAATTTACAAGTTAATCTCGATTAGTGTACAATTTAATAAACGTTTCAACGTTTCCCCCCCTTTAGGACAACAAAATGGAAAAAAGAAAAATTGGACAAATAGCTAACAATAAAGAATGTACCTGCATGCAGGTCTCGTCCCAGTCGTGACCGAAGCGGATAAGGACAAGGCGCTCCTCCTCTGCAAGGATCGCTTGATCAACTGCCCAACCGGAATGAAGATGAGGCAGCAAGTACGACATTTTTGGAATCAAGGCAAGCAGATGGAGCAGATCGGAGTATATTAGGGCCTGTTTGGATGGAGTGTTTGGAAGTGTTACTAATGAAAGTGTTAGTAAGTGTTAGTTAGGGCTCGGAAGGGAAGGGAAGTTTAAGTGTTAGACATAATTTTATCTTGTTTGGGAGAATCAAATGAATGAAGTGTTAATAATGGAAGTGTTAATAATTTTACCTTGAGGCAAAAGAAACGAGTAGAGAGAAGAGATGAAAAAACAAACCATCAGACCCGTGGGAAAGACATTCGAAGTAAAATGTCGAATCATTTTATGTTTTTCGGGTAAATGAGAAGGGTAATAATTGTCCAACACCTCAAAACACTCCAAATCGACGTGTTAAAAAAATGGACAATTGAGGTGTTGGGAAGGTTATTATTAACACTTCCTAACCATTACTAACACTTCTTAACACCTCTGGATTTTTCTCCCAAACAAGTGTTAGCATCAACACTTACTAACACTTCCATTACTAACACTCTTCAACACTCAATCCAAACAGGCCGTTAGGGTTTGGAGCAAGGGGCGGATCTAGCTTTGGCATCCAGGTGGGGCTAAATTTAATAAAAAAAAAATAATATTAAAAAAAAAACATTTATTCTAGCAACAAAATCAAAGACAAAAATTAAGATTATAGGAATAAGAGTTTTCATTAAAGTCAAATACAAATACACCATAATTTTACAATTGTTCTCTACAGGTTTTACAACTGGATTAGCTACTTCCTTTATCTTTTTCTTCAACAGGTAAGTATCTCTTCATTGCCTTTGTTGAAAATAATAGGATGACTAATTACAGCATAAATATTTTTTAAATTAATAATTAGATTAACAAGAACAAGTCACAAGCAAATACTACCTTTATTTTATTAGTCATCCTATTATTTTCAACAAAGGCAATGAAAATCACATATTTTCTAATACATTTGATCTTCAACAAGTCACAAGAAAAATCAAACTATAAATGATGATTCCAATTTACAAGTTTAGAAATAATAATCAAATTCATATCAAGCAAAGCTGTAATTTAGTTTTTAACTTTAAATTAAAAATATAATAAATTTTAAAAATTAAAAAAACAACTTGTTAAGCACTTATGACTTACGCAGCAATTCTAGGAGTTAGGACGCAGGCCTCTACTTACCAGTTACACCCGAAGACTTGAAGAGTAGCTCTCAAAGTCTCAATTTACCAATTACCACCGTCCACCGAAGAGAAATTAGAGCAACGAGCAGCAACTAAACTATGTAATATTATTATAATATTATTATATTATTATAATAATATTATAAAATTATTATAATATTACTAATAATAATAATTATTATTATTATAATCATACTTATAATTATAATTATAATAATAATTATAATAATAATTATAATCATAATTCTAATTATAATTATAATTATAATTATATACTCCGTAATAACAATAAAAATATTATAATAACAATAAAAATATAATAACAATATAGTAATAACATTATTATTATTATTATTATTATTATATAATAATATTAATATTATTACCATTGTTATATTATATTATTATTATATTATTAGTAATGTATTATATTATTATTATTATATAATAATAATAATAATATTTAGATTATTAACATTATTATATTATGATTATTATTATTGTATTATTATTAATATTAATATTATTAACAATAACTATAATATAATAATTATAATAATAATAATAATAATAATAAGTGTAATTAATATAATAATAAAAGTGATAAATCATGTTTGAATTTTTCTGATCTGGTCTGATCTGAGTGTTTTTGATCTGATCTGAATCTTTCTGATCTGATCTGAATGTTTCTGATTTGATCCGAATCTTTCTGATCTGATCTGAATTTTTCTGATCTGATCTGATCTAAATAAAATAATAATAAGGAATAAGTAATAAGATTAAGACGAAGAGAACAACTTCTTAGGGAGAATTTTCTGTTTTTGTTTTTTTGAGTAATTTTATGAATGTTTCTCTAGTATACCTCTATTTTTATCTATATGCTATTATTTTCTAGAGTTATTAATAGGAAATTTATCAACTCAATCTCTGAAAGATAGATGCTATCAATTCGGGACCCCAAAGAAAAAAATATCGATGTACAGTATGGTCTGAAATAATTATAATTTTACTTGAGATGATGCACTTTAAATTTCTGAATATAATTCAGAAATATTCTCAACACAGTCCACCTACAAATATTATAACATAATGGTCATCTCTACTATGCAGTTCTAAGGTAAGCACTCCCTATGTTCATGTTGCTATATCCTATAATGCTATTATTCTAACTCAAGTGTATAAATTTGTAGGTATAAGGTCAATGTGAGAGTTGTGTATGGGACCACCCAATCTTCATTTCTGCTATCCGGGATCAGGAGGTCCGCAGCTTCCCTCAAGGATCATATATCAAAGTTATTTCTTTCCTTGCTTAGTGTTTTTTACATGTTTATCATGCCTAAATGTTGGTTACAGAAAAACATCGGATCACATTACTTTCCTACTGAAATTAAAGGGCTCATAAATACCAAAGCTTATGAAAATTGCTTTTCACGTATTCATTTATAAGTGCAAATACAACCAACCATTTATAGGTGAAAATTGATTTTAATACAGGTCTTTGTTTTGTTTAGCATATTGAATAGTTGAATATAGGTGCAAATACAACCAATTATTTGAAATAATAATGGCTATTTGGGGGTGGGCGGGGGGCATACCTGGAAATTACTTTAACTGCTCCTCATTTCCTGCATTTATAGCTGCATATTGGTGAAGAACATAATACAATGAAATTGGTATCCAAGTACGTGCATTTTCAAAGGTCTTACAAAGTAAGCAGTCATGATAGCAAAGTTATTCTCTAGAGCTTTCATTTTTAAGCACACTAATGTATTGTGACTCTGTGTTCGTTTCTCTCTTACTTTTTGCTTTATGTATATGTTCATTTTGGTTTTGGCAGGGTGCAAAAATACAATACAAGTACAGGACATAGATATCCATTGAAGGGCCATTGGTACAACTCAAAATTCATCCAAAGGATCCACTTTCATGATCTTTTGTTGCAAACAAATGAGTTTAAAATTTTACCTTTCATAGGATTTACTGAGTCTGTGTATGTGTGAGGACTTGTGCAGTCTTATATTGTATATATGTGTGAGGACTTGTGCAGTCTTATATTGTATATATGTTATGCACCAACTAACATGATACCCGCATTTTCAAGAACAATTATCCAATATATACTACTTCGTACAAAATAGAAATGGTATGCTATGTTCTATTTTCCCCAGAAATTCTATACCATTTAACTGTTAGATTATAGATTTGGAATCAAACGTTTGTTCAAGCATACGACCAGAGATGGATTTAGGGGGGGGGCGCGGGGGGGCGACCGCCCCCCTTGGACATTCAATTTTTTTTACCATATATGTAATATTTTCATAAAACTTTCATAATTTAATTATATTCGCCCCCCTTAGCTTTTAATTTTCAAAATTAGTATATAGTCTTACATAATGTAATACTTAATTGAAGATTTAAAAGAAGAAACATCTAAAATAATTTACATAACTTAAACAAATAAACAATAGAGTAACTCGTTATTTAAGATTTAGGATACTTATTATATAAGAATTCCTAGTTTTGTAATGTTTAATTATCTTTATTAGATAACAAGTACAAGATTTTGTAAAACATATATCAAACAATATTAAATACTAGACACACTAATTACACAATTTTTAGATCACGTGAAATGAATCCAAAATATAAATATTTATAGACATCAGATTACATAATTCATTTACTTCTTGCTTTCTAAAAATAATTTACTGCATGGATAGATGATAAACTTTAAATTATTATAGAATTAATAAAAAAATTAAAATATAATATGCACCATATATGTGTGTGTGTATGTGATGCATATTATTCTAAAAATAACAATCTCATACATACTAATATACTACTATTGTAATATTAAGAAAACTTCTCATGAGTCATGACTCACGAACACCCTCCTTGGTGGACAAAAATTACAATTCAATAACTGATTCATGAGGTTAAACAATGTAGAAGTTATTAAAAATGTATTGGTTGATGTCTTTGGCATTGTCTAAACTTAGAATGTAATAGATTTAAATGCCGGTTGGGGATGTGCAAGTATTAATGTCATTTTTTTTAATAAAAATAGCCGCATAGCCCTACAGTAGCAAAAAAAATTCGCCCCGCTACACTAGGGGAAAAAATTTCACCCCGCTACACTAACAAAAAAAAATTCACCCCCTACACTAACAAAAAATTTCGCCCCCCTTGACTCAAAATCCTGGATCCGTCCCTGCATACGACTATTGTGTTATTGTTCCTGATAGTTATTGGATGAAGGGGATACATGGAGACTTAATAAACTATTCAAGATTATATGGTTAAAGTCATAACTATTGATTCACAAAAGAGTATAAAATAGTGTAATAAACATTTTTTTGCATGCATATCATAGATCGATACAAACCTGTAAATTATTGACGTGCACTTTGTCGTGCGTGCACTCAAAATAATATTCAATACTAACACTTATACGTAGTATAGGTCAAGTAGAGTTCGTATCCACATGGAAATGAATAACTTTCTTTTTATGTAAATAGTAAATAAAGGGGGGTTTTGATTGTTGAGTGATTTAATTAAATTAAACACGAAGATGAACGAGTTATATGGGATTAAATTCAAGAATAAAAGAGACTTGGTCTTGCTACTTTCCACTTGTTGATATATTTTAGTCGGTCATTGTTATATCTATAACTTATCCCCTCTCGAATACTCAATCGAGGAGTATATCCAATTCATCGAGAGTAGTTATTAACAACGACCGTTCATTAATAACCCTTACTATTTATCAAATATAGAACAACGCCATATACCGATATAACAGTAGCTTTTAACCTCTTTAACTCCTTGATGAAATCAATTAAGA